TGGGATTTTCATATACATTTTGCAACATTTAACAAATATTGCACCTCCTGCGATTTAAAAACTGCAGTAAGCCATATTGCGATTTCGATTAATCGTTCAGCCCTGCTTCCGTGCAGGTGTACGCTGCAGCTTTAACGTCGTTTATGCAGAGTTAAAGTGAGGCAGGAGTGAAAATGACTGGTGCTCTAGACTCTGGTGATTTAGGTCGGTCTTGGGGTAAAAGAGTGGTCCAGTGAATGTGTTTTTGTTTTGCCAGGGCCGCTGGCAGTCCCAGATGCAGCAGCTCAGGGACATGGGGATCCAGGATGAGGAGCTGATGCTGAGGGCGCTGCAGGCCACAGATGGTGACATCCAGGCTGCCCTGGAGCTCATATTTGCTGGAGGCCCAGGACTCTGAGCCCATTCACTACGGACACAGGCTTTTATAGAGCCGAGAGCGGGAAAAGGCTTGTCACCCCGCTGTCCAGAAATGATCAATTATGGCTTTAGACATATTGTTTTTTTTGTTTGTTTTACCCATTTTACCTCAATTTATATACAATACCATTTCCACAAGTTCCACACAGGTCGTAGCAGCTTTTTCTTGTTGAGGCGACTAGACTTAAATTTTAAATAAATGTAATCCTGCATACCCCATCGACTCCTGAGCCTGTCTGTGTTATTTAATAGGTGGCATTGACTGTAAACATACTGCACTGGTCCATTCAGTCTAAATTCTCTGAACTGTTGACACGCTGGTGTGTCATAATGAGGTCACCCTGTGCCTGCTCAGATTTCTTTTTGTTTCTTTTTTGTTTGCTTCTTAATCGTACATGCATATATTGTCATACAAGTATCAGATTGCACTATTAATTGCAGTATTAGTTGCTCATATAGTATTCTAGTAACATTACTGCATTTACATTGTCTACTCTGCCTGTGTGGTTCCCCTATTTGTACACTAGATGGCAATGCAGTAGTTTCTTTCTATCCAGACATGTCTGAATCTCCTAACTCGGTGTGGCAGACATGCTTCCTGTTTATTTGTTCTTTCTTCCCTTGCTATATTTTAAATCATGTTCTTGATATGCCCTCTGTTGAACAGTGTTTTATAAATGGTTGTTTTATCTGTAGTTGTGGGCTTTCATTATTCAGAGAAGGCAGTATTAGACAGGCTATAACAGAGAAAGTGGCACAGATGAGGTGAGAGCTTTATTAACTTCCACTGAGATGTTGCAGTGTTTGTCATAGCATTGTTACCATTCGCTGACACCCCCCCCCCCCTTATTGCAGAGGGCTACATTTGCTTTGTCTTGTTGTCTCCCATCAGGGTATTTTCGGAGGACATTGCGTGCCCCCCCTCTGCTACCTACCGTTCTCCATTTACAGTAATTGCCCTGCTTAGTTTTATTACTGCATCTGTGAATGTGACGGCTCAATCAGTGGATTGCCCTTTCATGAGCACAGCACCCAAACAGCGCTTTGTGTCCGTCTGTCCCCATTACCATTTTATATGCATGCACACCTGCGGGCAATTTCCACCTCCAACTGCCTCCAAGGGTATTTTAAAAATAAAGCATTTCCATTGTGCTGAAGGAAGCAGTGTCATAGCTTCGACAAAACAATGGTGAATCAAAGTGTCATTGCCTTTCTGGAAAAATTTAAAAAGGAGACCGTTGTGCTTACCCAGATGAAATAGTGGGATTTTAATCCAAGCAGGAGTATTGTAGAATAGTTTTGCACTGATTTCCATTTAGACTTGTTTTTATGCACTTCTGTTGCTAGCAAGCTGTGAAGTCAGATGTGGTAGGTGTTGCAGCAGTGGACTGTCTGTTTACTGTGTTTATGTATAGACTACAATCACAAGCCTTGTAACTGCAGCCTTCACCATATTCTGAACAATTTACTGTGGAGAATCATGTGAAGTTGTCATGGAGACACTTGATGCTGTGCGATATGCTGTCACATACATGGTAAAGAAAAGCTTTTATTACAGGCCATATTATGTACGTCCCTTTTGTTGCCAACTGTGAAGGTGGTATTGACTATGTGTAATTTCTTAGGACCCAACCTGAATTGAACTACAATACACCATATGAACTGAGAGGTTTTATCTGCACCTCTCGACTCTTTCATCACCCCTTCATCAATGTAAGACCTGGCTATTCCAAAAGCATTTTAAGAGTATATTTGTTCCATTAAAATTATAGTAATGAAGATGATGTCATGACAGCAAATCCAACACATATGAGAGAGAGAGAGTTTAATGTAGTTATATCTTCTTTTTTTTTTTGTTACTAGGGGACTATATTGCACTCGCCATCACAAGTGAACCACCAACTTTGAAGATGTCAGAGGGATCAGAAACAAAACAAGTTGTTATTTCTCTTTCTGTCTGTTCTACTTGAATCAATATAGTTGCTGTGTTGGGCTTTGCCACAGTGACCACAGGGTGCCTACACCTCAGTTCATGGCCATAGAGGTTTTAAATGGCTGTGAAGAGTCACATTATTCCTTTAAGAGTTTGTTAGACTTTTTCTTTTAATTCTCAAATGTTACCACATTGACATGGCGGTGGATACGTATCTGTGAAAGACTGCTCCTCAGCAGGAACAGGAAATGGCTTAAACAGATGGAAAGATGCCTTCCTAATGAATCAAGCCTGGAGCTTTGAAGCTGCCACAAATCTGCCCAATTACTCCCACAGTGACCTGGGATTCAGGTAATGAGCAAGGTTTTGCACCATGTCATTAGAGGCAATATGTATGCCAATAGAAATCCTTTATGCCAGACCTTTAGAAATGGTGTAAAAGCGCCGCTAATCAAGCCTTCACAGAAAAGTAGAACAATACCAGCGCTCCTCTCTCCAGATGAAATGCTCTGACGTGCCAGAGGAGGAGGAAAGGATAGAGTTGGTATAATGCCCTCCATCCGCTTTTGTCTTTCTGAAAGGAGGCAACCCACGTGTTATTAACATAAGGTCTGTTACCTGAGATTGCTTTCTGCCTGGCGTGACTGAGCGGAATATGAAATGAGCTTCTGATGGACACAAGGCCATTTTATCCCCTTGTGGCCCGTTCATTGCTTTCAAGCCATGCTTTTATTCTTCCCCTCTTCTTTTTCAGCACTCTTCTTTTTGTCCACAAAAGCTTCTTTGGTGCATTTCATCCCAGGTGCTTTAACCCTTGATGGGGTTTCTCTGGAGGAGAACAGAGCTGCAGCAGAGGGAGAGTCAGAGATCACGCACAAACCACTGGGAGTTAGAATGGAAACTTAAAATAGCGACTTCGCTCCCTGTTCTGTCTGAAGTTGTTGATTTGTTCGGGTCGGGTGAGATAAAGAAAATCAACAGCTAAATCTAGAATGACATTTGAAATTGATTGATATTTATTTTCAGAATTCAGTGCTTAAGCTGGTGTTTCTCAGATGCTGTAATTGAACATGTGTTGAACATGTGTTGTTAATTCAGCTTTTTTGTGGAGATATCTCATAATATTTAATATAGAATTTTACATGGTCAATTTCCAAAGAAAAGTGGCAAAAAAAATAAATAATAACAAACCCAAATAATGTGTACTGTTTCGCTCATACTCATATCATAAAAATGAGCCACATAGACAAAGTCCTCACTGTCTGCCAGTCAGTTACTGTAGAAGCCAAATTGAGGCATGTAATTTCACGATATTCTGCCCACTATCCAACAACTGAAGAGGCTGTGAATGTTCAGTGTTTGCTTTCATCAACTCTCTGCCTGGGCTTTTCCTGAATGCCTGCCAGATGTTTTGTGGCCAAAGTGAGCTGTGTAAAAACAGCTTTTGCTGTCACAATGCAACAGTTCTGAAAGGGATTTTAGGGTAAGGGATTAAGGATTTCACTGTTAAAATTGCCTTCAACAGTACTGAGTGCTGGACTCTTAAAGGTAACAGTGACATCCCAGAGGGTGTGATAGCGTGTTGTAGTGGTGTGTCTAGAATCACAGAAAAGAATGCAGAGCGAAGAATACTGGTTTTGAATCAATATACTGCCTGAAACCTGGTTTTGTACTGTACAAAATACTAGGGCATACAAATCAGTGGCATCTTTTTTGTTGTTGTTGTAGCCAAGCATCCATAAAACATGGATTTGCTGGTGTTTGTCTGTCTATGGAGCGATGTAATTTGGCACTAATTATAGGGAAAATACAGACAAGGTTCAGCTAGTACATTTCCAGGTTAATTAATTCAAAATAATTGCAAGCATAACTTAGACAGCCCTTTTCTCTTTGCATCTGCAGGTCATCTGAACATGCAAACATGTACAAGTTGTGTACATGCAATACACATGTACATACAATTCTACAAATATGGAGAACAAATTTTCCAACAAAAAATTAATATCAAGTTAATGTTAACTTGGACTTTACATTTTCCTTACACTTAGTACAGGGTTCTTCCAGTAAAACCTCTTAGAAAATTACTAGGACAAGATTTTACAGAAAATCAACTAATACTTTCCTGTCTCTTCTTGGTTAGCTAAGAAATACCCTCTTAATCTTTCTAGAGGCAAAGACTTTCTTCATATTCCAAATAAATTATTTATACTTCATTCAATTTGGAGTGTGTACAAAAATAGCTGTTTATGCACAAAATACTTTTAAACACTTACTTATTATTATAATTTAATACAATATAATATTATTATTATTATTCTTTATTAAAAAAAAAAGGCAAAATATGTGATCATTGTAAGCAGGGGCCCTAATTGTACTGTAATGCTACCGGGATGAACAACGGCGTGAAAACATATTGCAGGTCTGTGCTACAAAGTGGATCAATAGAGAACAAGTGCTGAGTTCTGGCTAGATAATAGCTCCAACATTCTGTCCTTGACTCAAACAATGGTTGCTCTTCTTTTCCTATCAAAGGGCTTCACCATGGTAACTGGCAATGGTGAAGATGCAGTACAGAGCTTTCCTCTTGCTAAATAATAATGTTTGTAGTGCGTTTGTATTAAATAACAGAAAAGAAAATATAATTGAAACATTAATTCATAAACCCAATTTTATTTATTTTGAACCTTGATGTCCCCATACAATACATTCAGTATATACATTTGGCCATGAGGGACTGTACAGAGATATGTTATAGTAGTGCATACATACATGGGACGAAAATGTACACAAAAGGAAACTCATACATGCCACTTTACCACAGTAAAGTGATACACAAGATACACGCGGGGGAAAGTCAATGGCTGATGGTTCCTTACACCAGTACACACACTTATATACACACACACACACACACACACACACACACACACACACACACACTGTTTCATGTATGCACAATTGTGTGTACATGCACTTTAAGACACTTCAGAGGGAGGAGAAGGGCTCTGTCAGGTCCTCATAAGAGAAATATACGAATGTGGAGAGTGTGCCTGCTTATTGCAGCAACCCCCGCCCCCCTCCCTTCAGAAGACCATCCCCTCTGTCTCCCCCTTCTTCTCATTTTCCCTTTCTCCAAAGCTAAGGCCTCTCTCTAGGCAGTGCGGCCATCACACACAGGCTCTTTCCTATAGTAGAGTAATACTCATCAGCAGCGGTAACTAAATAAAGAGCCTCTACTGTCAAGGTTTGATCTCTTAATAAGGGAACATTCGGAACATAAAGGATACGTAACACAAAGTTTATTTCATTTGCATTTCTTCTTAGGATATCTTCTCTCAAGGAAATACATAGGTCCACTTCGACAACATACTATTCCTTAATAAAGCTGCAGAGGACGCCTTATCACATGAACAGACCCCCTCATATGACATACTTATCTGATGACGGCAACATCTGTCTTCTCACTTACTGCACCAACAAAATAAATTTCTGTATACATCCCACTTTCTGCAAACTACTCTTTACTAATGATGTCATTCTGCTGATTACATCTCTTCCTGGTGGGCATTTTGTACCACCACATTTGTCATAAACACTTGGTGGAGGAACACACTCCAATCATTTTCCCTTCAATGACTGCAGTTCATAGTTGCATAGCACACAGCAGAGATATAGTCAAAGCCAAAATGTATTTGACTTTGCATATATAGTGGTCATGCTCGCTAAAATCAGTTTCTAATTCCTAGTGTCAGTCATTTTCAGCTTGGACCAAAGCCCTGCAAAATTTCCATTTTTACTTGGATTTGCTCATTAAACCACATCATTTTGCAACTGATAACAAAGGTTTCATCTGAAGAGGCAGTTTGCGCATAAGCTTTGGGCCCTCTCATTAGTTCATGGTGTGGATACTGTTGAAAAATCAGCTTCTTTGTGCTGTAATTGGTCAGCAATATATATGCTGTGGGCTGAAATATTACTGGGTCTTATACAATAAACTGCAGAGAGCAGGCCACAAGACAGATCTGTCATTCCGATGAGCTGCTAAAATCAAATGTGGTTTATGAGTGAATACAAGAAAACTGAAAATTAGTGAGCAGTGAAGCTGAATTCTAGTTTCTTGACTTAGGGGAGAGGGGAAATAAAGCGTTGACAACCAAAGAGGTTTAAAGTTTCAAGCAAAGGCTGTCAACAGTTTGTACCACAGCAGGGTAAAACACACACTAGAAGTCAGAAAGTCTGTGCACACATTCTCATATGCATACATATACTGTACACACCAACGTGCTGGACACATACTCACTCACATTCACACATGTATGCACATCAGGCTGGTTGAAGGTAGATGTTTACATGGTTCAAACAGGCTGCGCTGTGATTGGTCCAGGGGGTGTATGCGATCGTCTTTCTTGACAGACGCAGAGTCAGGCCACCGAGGCGAACGTGCATTTAGCGGAACTTGAAACAACAAAAATGCAAAGCACCACAGTAAAAGAGGCTGGAGTAGTCCCAAAAAACACGATCACATCGGCACAGAACAATGAGGGAGAGGGGGCCGACAGCCAGCACAAAGGAGTAACACATCAGGAATAATTACCCCAGAATAAATTACAGTCACAGAACAATCGTTAAAAGCAGAATTGGAAATCAGCGGATCTAGTGGACTGATTTGACCCATGCATTATAAGGCATTAACCAAACATTTGTTACTGACATCACACAGTATCATATTAGTGACTATACATACAATTGCTGATCTGGAAAATCTGCGGGTTTTCATAAAAAAAATCTTGGATAAAACTGTAAAAAAAACAAAACATCTTCCTACGACTGGTGATGCAATTTTAAGGGAATTGGGAATGTCGAAGGGAGGGCAGATCAATGTCTGCAATCCCATTGTACCTATTGATCTGCAGATGGGTGAATGAAATTGATTTTCTGAGGTAGACAATGCAGGCATATTTCATTCTCCCTGATGCAAAGCCATTCTAAGCAGGGGTAGTGGGGCTAATTTGGTCCAATTGGACAGGCTCTGGTCTCCAGCCTCTGCCAATTGTACTGTGTCGGATGGGTTGACCCATCCATCATGCTCTCCTGCCTGTCTCACCACTACGGTACTTACACTGTCATTGACGTGAGACACCCACTCAGTGATGGATAACAGACAGCAAGCACTATGACAAGATAGAGAGATCAGTCTGCACTGTTCACATGCCTGTTATTTCCACGCAGCTGGGGACACACCATTCATCCAAGGCCAGTTTATTCAATATCCTGGCCACTGTATGGGGCCCATGTGGACAATATCCCGCAACATGCCTCATAAATGTTGCTTCCCTTACACGGCTTTTACAATCTTCAAGTCCCCTCACAAACGATTACAGTTCTCAACAGAGCCTAACCAAATGAGCAAAGTCAAACAGACTTACTAAAAAGGTACAACATTTTACGATAAAAGGTACGTCCCAGTGACAAATGTTACAATGTTGTACCTTTCTTTTTTTTGCGTGTTAAGTGCTAAGGGAAATCAGCTCAACAATTAATGAAATGGTGTTCATCAGACGGTCAGTCTATGAAGCAATGAAGTGGGTGTCATAAATAAAATAAAATAAAATAGTCAAGACTTCTGCAACATTGAGTCTGTATGTGTAAGCTAGTATGCAGTAGGCCTTCAAAACAGGTCTGGAATCTGTTGGCCAGTGAGGTGAGTCAGGATCAGCAGTTTTGGGACGCCACTGTTCATCTTCCCATGAGCTTACTGGGCTCTGCCCAGATGGACAGGAAGTGTGGAGCCACAGGGTGGCCCAGTGAGTACTGCGGGGGCCAACGCCTGCAGGGAACTCAGTGCACTATAGTGTCCTGATGGCTACAGGGTAGAGCAGGGACATGTGTTCCGCACCCTTGATGGGCAGCTTGCGGCTGGAGTAGAAATGGATGATCTCAGGCACGCTGTCAAAAGGGCAGCTGTTCTGGCCCAGGATGTACTTGTTCTCCTTGGTGCGCGACAGCTTCATGTGCATGAAGCCCTGGCTGCTCCTGGGGGCAGACGAGGACAAATGAGAGGGATAAAAAACATGTTAGTTCAATAAAAAGAAGACCAGGAATCTACATTATCCATCAAAATAAATTGTTTGGTAGACCAGGAGGTTACAGCCACACCTACAGCTCTGAGCTACATGCTAATGTCGGCGTCATAGATGCAAGGGCATAGACTTTAGTAAGGACGGTAAGAATTGACCCTAGCAATAATTTATATCTGAAAATCTATATAACCACTGTCCGTCAGCGTCATTGTCGATGTCAATGTCAATGTATTCGGTACACAAATGGTTAACACCGCTCATTCTCTACTCTTCAATATGTTTTAAAGTTTTAAAACATTACATCCTCCCCCTTCATATGTCTTACAGTGGTTTGGTCTGTTGCCTACCTTTTTCAGACCCTCAGTGACTTTATTCCTAAAAGGCCACTAGCGACAAATCTAGTAAGTTATTCAGACCACCAGGGGCCAAGTGAGAAATATACTATATTATTCCCATGCATCTCCCTCTCCTCTTGCACCATGCGCACACAAGCAGGAGTGAGGGTGAGTTACTATGATTACAGGGATGCTGTTTGTCTCCATCGCGCCGAAAGTTTGCGACAACGCAGTAGGAGAACAGGGTGAGGTGGTGGGTAAGCAGCAGTCTTTGTAGTGATGAGAATGTTTCGTTCGTTCTACAGATATTTACTGGAGAAGTGAAAACTTTGACCTGCAAGTGGTGCCACATGAAAAGTGAGGGGATTGCAAAAGTCATTAGGATTCACTCTCTGGGAACCTTGGATATCTGCACAAAATTCCATGGCAACCCATCCAGTAGTTGTATGTTTCAGTCTAGACCAAAGCGATGGACCAACCGACTGTCACTGCCATGCCTAGAACCATGTCGCTAGCATGGCTAAAAACCAATTTAAAGAGAGAAGTATGTCAAAAGCCTGAATATATGGGAAAGTCACCCCTCCTTGACAGCCCCTCATTTACTCCCACAGTAGTTGCTCCCTACAGTACGTGACAATGTTCTGAAAGCTGGATTACCTCTGATAACTTTGGAGCTGTCTGGGGAGGAGACTAAAAGGCAGGTTGCTTAAGGTGCAGAGTTTCACATGCAGAGCATAAGGATGAGGCTAATGAACCCCCAGGATGAATCACTTAAGCTACGGCAATAAATGCACAGCAAATTAAAAGCTCCCTGTGTGTTTCTAGGCGCCTTTGATCAATACATTTTACAGCTTGCTGGTAATCTTCTGCTTAAAAATAGAAAATCACTTTTTTTAGAGTTAAGTGATGCAACAGTAAGCTTTAGTAAGGAAGTGATACAAAACTAATGGTCCCTATATGCTGCTGTAAATATAGTGTTGTATGTGATCGTTTGTCTTTACCAAAACACATTAGCATAACAGCTTTTGTAATCAGCATCTAGTGTTCGAGCAATTTATGATTGCTGTAGGCTCAAATACTACACTATCACTTGCTGCAAGTGGGCATTATGGCCTCTCATCAACATAATGTGCACCAGGTCTTTCTAGCTCCCTAAACTCCCTTCTATTCTTTATATCATGTATCATATTTCCCTAATCTGAAATGTAACCCCCTTTGCTGAAATGCAAAAACAGGTACAAGAATGAGGATACTAACAGATGGTTTCATTATACTGGAACAAAAAAATAGGGGGGGGGTAAGGACTACCATTTCTCACAAACCCTTTCTGTGACAAGCAGTGAAACACATCAGGTAAGAAAGCTGCACACCCATCAACTCATGGGGCCCGTTACTGTTATTTGCACAATACATTCTGTTTGTGTCAAAGATGGTGTGGCATAGGACCCTTGTGAGGGCTGTGCACATGCAGGATAAGTGCGTGCAAGGTGCCAAGTAGAAGAGATATTATGTAGTATATCAAATAAACTAGGATGTCGAAATATCATTCAGACAAAAGCACACATCTCTGTTTTGATAAGATGTAGTGAAGATGTAGTGAAAACAAGAGTGTTGATGAGGTTTACAACTTTATCACATGCCATGCTCCTCTCGTCCATTTGTATTTTTTTCTATTGCTGATTATTATATGTGTTCATGAATAGTCAGGAGACAAACAAAAAAATAAATAAAACTGATATTTTTGAGGTCACTGAATATATTATCACTGTAAATATATGCACATATTTGGAGATATTCCCATTATCTGTGATGAACAGGAGCAAGAACTGGGCTTTAGGCACCTTAAAGGTAAGGCAAGTCCATTCTTTACTTATCTCGTAATTGCATGTGTAAAGCCTGTGGGTGTGTTCTCTGCCTGATGCACAGAGAGAAAGCGGCAAAGAGATAACACTGAAGTGGGGGAAAAAACTAACTAAGAATGTACAGGGTTCAACTTTGGGACATCCATCAACAATAAACCATTTCCTGTGAGATTATGTCTTACATCAATAGATGAGACCCATCCTTTCTTAACATTAGTGCTTTTACAGATACAGATATTACTGCTATTACAGAAAATCTGAATCTCCTGATCTATGAAGTATACCGTATATGGCAGAAGATGGAGAATATTTTAAAAGCTGGTCTATTGAGCCATGTATGCCTATAGCCCTCTTAGTAATGACTTCACAAGCTTCTTTAATGATAAAATTCAGATTATTAGAGACAAAATTCAACCTCTATTGCCCTCAAGTGGTACAGGTGTATCTTCAAATTTAAAGGACAATTCCCGCCCTAAAATCTTGTGAAAAGAAGACAACGGTGGAAACGTGAGTCAGAGTTGGAGAGAGAAGTTTGTTGTGTTGGAGTAACGTTAGGAAATAAAGTCTTGCTAGCCGATTCTCTATGTACACAACAAACTCCGCTCCCCCATTATCACCTGCGTTTCATGCAACAACTTGCCTTTAACGAGATTTCAGAGCGAGAATTGTTTTGAGCGAGACTCTGATTTCTTGTAGAGATCCTTTCCACCATGTATAACAGTGTGAGCCTGTCAGTTTTCATACCTACCGAGTCATTTTGACCCCAAAATATGTGAAAACAGGGCTCAGGTTAAAATTTACCAAAATGATCCTTTAAATAAGTTTTATCCTTAGTCAGCACTTCTTTACTAGATAAGACAAACCTGTCTTTTTTAACAGGCTATGTACCACAGTACATTAAAGTAGCTGTATTCAAACCTCTTCATTTTTGGTTTTACCCTATTATAGAAATATATCTAACCTCTTTCTCTCGAAGATCCTTGATAAAGCACCAATCAATTGTGTGACTTTCTACATAGCAATTGTTTTAAGTCAGGATATAGAGTGCATCGCAGCACAGAGACAGCACTGATGAAAATTACAAATGACCTACTAATTGCATCAGACAGAGCCTCCACATTTAAGAGTAAGCTTAAGACTTTCCTCACTGATAAACCGTATATTTAGGGCTGGCTCAGGTGAGCCCTGAACCATCTCATAGTTATGCTGCTATAGGCCTAGACTGCCGAGAGTCTTCCCATGATGCACTAAGCACCTCTCTCCTCCTCATCCTCTCCATCTATATGTGTTTTTATCGCATTAATGACTGTTACTAACTCAACTTCTTCCCCCTGCTGTAGGTTTTTGCTTTCTCATTCCTGTCCTCTCCCCTCAACCTTCTATCACTTTCTGCAAGTGTCTCTGTCTCCGAAGCTGTAGAGTCTGGATCTGTGGTTGCAAACTACCTATTATTATCATTATTAGTACTATTAATTTTCATTGATATCTGTACCAATACCACCATTGCTATTGTTTTACATTTCTATGTGGATCTTGCATTGGACTACAGGATGGGTTTCCATCTCTCTTGACCTGCTCTATATGAAAAGTGCAATGTGATAACGTCTGTTATGAATATGTGCTATATAAATAAAACTGAATTGAAACACAAATGCTAACATATTTTTTTATAGGCGAGCTGAGGTGGAGAGCCCCAGGCTTGCTGGGCTATAAAACTGAAATAAACAACTATCAGACCTGCCTCTGGCCTTGATATTTGAGTATGTCATTAACAAGTTCATCATGATTTCAGGAGAGCGGGACAAATTTGCCTTGCCACAGGTCTCTATAATTTTACTATTCTGCAAGTGGTGCCAGGAGAGCTCATTTTAAGAAATCCTCCCTGCAAAGTGCATTTGATGAATCTTCACGCAGTGCGGTGGGAGACAGGTGTTAAGTTACACAGAGCCACATTTAAAAAGGCAAACACATCAATAGCATCATTTTTTAGATTCCCAAATGATTTTCCAGTTGGTGTTCAGGGCTGCTTATCGCGTTACAATCCTGCAGAGACAGAAACCAGGACAACAGAGCAATATGGCAGGACTGTTGATAAAATGAATATGGGGCTGTTTTTGAGAAGACAGGCCTTTGTAGTGTTATAATATCCCTGTGTGTGTGGGCTTCTATTGTCTAATCAGGATTAATCTCACTGGGGAGGTCTCCTCTCCTGTTTATTGAGGTTTATGACTTTGATTTGAACCCTGTAGTCATGAGAGCAGGGACAGTCTGACAGCAATCACGGCTTATCTCCACCTTCAGCATATTGGATTGCCCAAATGAATGATGCTCTCAGGGTTATGAATCTATGGCACAAGAAAAGGCAAACTCATCCACCAAAAGATAATGATCCTTGGCAGAAGCGATGACCTTTTTAAGCATTAGTGGACTTCAGATATCCCATTTCACCCATTATTTTATGTGAGCACAAACTGAATGAGTCTACCTGGGATGAGCCCTACCATTCTGTAATACATTTAAGAAACAAAATCTGGCATCTACATCCAATCTGGCTGATTGAACAACTTGACTTAGATTGGCTAAATATTCTACAAAAAGTCAGATTCAATATTGCTTTTGTGTTCTAGACAGTCATTTGTCTTGTCTGCGCCACATAAAGGAAACCTGATCTGTTCTGTTCTGAAACATAATCAAAAAGACACCATAAAAGCACAGTGTGTCTTTGGAAGATGAGTTAAATTGCAGATGCAAAGACCTTGTGGTTCTTTTTTTTCCAATTAGCTATTTAGTTTCCCCTTTTCTGTGTTTGGGCTTCAAACAGATTCTGCTGGATAGATTTTCTTCTTTCACTAACAATTTCTCTGCTCAGCCAGAGTGACCATGCTGTGCAGGGCTCTTGTGAGGTAAGAAACAGGGTTGACATTGTGCTCTGAGACACTTGCGAAGGGTTTGATATGTGTCAAACACATTAAAGGGTTTCTCTCCACAGAGAAGGGGTGAGGGGCAGGTGAACAGAAAAAAAGGGGTTAGGAGGGCAAAACAGACAGAAAATGCTTTCTGTCAGGCCAGAGGACTCTTGAGGCGGAAGGTCTCAGCAATGTCTGTCTTAGTCAATAATGCAATCCACATACGTGCCACTTCATGGCCTTATACATTTTTCAGCAACCTCAGACATGGAGGATCTTCACCTTCACTCCACTCTTTTTCAGCGGCAGCAGGGGAGACGGGCTCATGTGACCCAGCCGAACTCAGAGTTAACCCTGCCGGCAATGAGGTGGCACCTGTCATTCCCAGGAATCGGCCTGCTGACAGTTTTCTAGGCTCGATCTGGCTGACGTCGAAGGCACAAGATACAACTTTCTGTGACCCTAAGGCGCTAACTAATGCAAATATACATGTGACTATCTGCAAACACAGAACCACAAAGCTTCAAGGAACATTCTCTATTTTAATGTTTTTGCCCACTTTCTTCCCTAGTGGCTATTTTCTCTAACACTTTTGTTTGACTTTTGATCAATGTCAACTGGGAGGGGTGCCCCAAGGCACAAGCACACTCAGTGTTTGCTAGCGCCAGCAGGGAATCCCTGAATCCCATTTTGTTTAGGGCCCCAAAAAGCTTTAGGCCGGCCTTGGAGTCATCCACTTTACAATGAGGGAAGAATTCAGCTGCTGGTCCAGGCCACACTGTTCTGCAGTTCCCACTGAATCAGAGATTAAACAACTTTACTGCACCAATAGTAACACAATCTTGTCAGCATTATTGCTCTTCTTCTACTTCTCAGTGCAACAAACAGCCATTATAGAGGAAGTGTATTCCCCCTATCATCTGCTCTAACAGTGCAGCTCATTACTTAGGGTCAGCTGGACAGCAGTGGGATGTGAACTGGTATAAATACACGAATGTTAGAGAGGCCATTACAGAACCAGAAGGTTAGAATGTGTTTTCACCACACACTAAATCAAATACATTTTTTATACAAGATGAAATACCTTGCTGTAATTATTGCCTGCTTGAAAAGAAAACGGCATTTATTCAAATAATCCAGCAATCAGCTATTTCATTTGGGGAGGTAAAGCCCCCAGCATTAGGCACTCTCCTTTCACTGTAATAGAGAGATTGGTGAGTTAATTCTCTCTAGCTTCACTAAAAAATATCATTATAGGTTCAGGCTCCAATATTGAATTGGTGCTTTATTGGACGTCCATCGATCCAATTCACTCCCTGCATTATCACTCCCTATATCAACAACCCTTATAGCAAAAACATTTTGTTCTAACTACATTGGAGATATGGGTCTAGACTAGTCCTACTTGCTTTGGTCTTATATGTCTGCTTTATAGTTATCATTTAGCATTAGGCATTTTGTGTGTGTGTTTTGAACCAGATATTTTGCACTTTGTTTGCACTATACATCTGTTGATTGTGTATCTTCTTTTTTCAGTACTAAAATCATGTATTCCGCTCAATGCTATTTAGATTGATATTATTACGCTTATATCCCTTTTAGCGCCAAGGAAATTTCATTTGGTTTGAAAATCTTTCTCAGAAACTTTATATTCCAGATAATTAAAAGACTGTCTCTCAGGCTACTTTAAAAAAAAACAAATAAATACAGTGTTTAGTAGTCAAACCTACATATAGGCATTTAGTCTCTTTGGTTAGAATGCCAGTGCAGCAGTTCGGCAGCCCAGCAGTTAGTAAGTTAGGCTTTTCCTGTCAATCAGTCAGGCAGAAAAAAGAAGCAGTCACACAAGCATAAGCAGATGATCAGTCACTGAGACGGGAAGTTAGACTGGCAGTAAGCTACAGCAGCATGGAGAGAATTGGAGCAGTGGAAAGCATTATGTTTCCCTGCCAAGATTTATAAGCCTCCAGCAAGATGAACTCTGCTGTAATAACAAAGTCTAATCAATGTCTCTTTAGCACATTATAGTTTCATCTCATCTGAAGGTTCTCATATGGCTGACTCTGCCTTGAAATGTAAAAAGGACTGTATATAAAGATTTTAAAGCTGATGGCTCAAGTTAATTTACCAAAGTTGACTTTGGCAAGTGTTCAAAGGGCTACACATTTCTGGTTATGATTGACACTGTTGCTATGGTACCTTGTTCTTACACCTGGTAGCAAAAATCATTACACCAAACCTACAAAAGGCACACGTTCCCGTCAAAAGAGTGGGATGTGACTGCACTGTGGGCCATCAAGCTGAAGTAACCTCCACCAAATGTGGTGGGGAAAGAATACACCAATCAGGTTCCTATGAACCCTCTGCTGGACACGGCAGGGATCAGGGGTCGCTGATGAAGGGCACCATTAACTGAGTTGTGGGCACATCAGCAAATCAAAGAGCCAGTGGTGTCAGAGGGGTTACAAGGGGGAGGTGGAGGACAAGGGATGGGATGGGCAGGATGTAGGTGGGAGATGGAGGTCTGAAAGGTGAAAATGATTACCATATTGAAAAGGCAGAGTCAGCAGACTATTGGGGCACAGATATACTAAGACCTTCATATGGTGTGTGTGTGTGTGTGTGTGTGTGTGTGTTTGCACAATGACTGTCAACACAGAATGACTTGTTCTATGTACATATCATACTTGTTTTTCTTTAATCTCTGACACTTTAGCAGGCTTAATCATATGGAGTATTTGCAATTACTTTTTACCCAGCTGTTATGTGCACATGTGTATCTGATCATCCTCTTTGTGGCTTGTTGATTAGGGAAAGAATGTGCTGTCCTTACTTAAGGGAGAGGGAGTAGTCATTCTTGCTGGTCTCGCTGTTTCTCACCAGGTAGCTGGCCTCCTTACACAGCCTGAGCAGAGACTCTGCATCTGTTCGGCTGATCGCTCCATGGTACCAGCTACAGTGAACAATAGGAAATAGGGATGAGAAAGAAGAGGAACAAAGGAATGGTAAGAATAAGCAGAAAACAGAACAAAGGGAATGTAACAACAAGGGTCAACCCCGCTCATGAACAGAAAATGAACAAGAGGGACAAAGTGGTGTATTTGAAATACAATGCAGTCACAACGCGACACCAAGATCCGACTCACAACTGGCTCTCCAGGGGCATGGTGGGGTCAATACGCTCCCCGAGAGAGCTGCAGTGGTCCAGTGAGGTCATTTTGGTGTTGACCAGACAGCCACTGGAGTGTCGCTGCAGCGGGCGGGTTTTCCCCTCCTTAGTAGGCGACATCCGAGACTTCTCCACACCATCAAACTGGACTGTAATAAAGGAAAACGCAACAGTTGGAACACTGTATTCTGGAACAATATGGTGGATATTTTAAAACAGTGGGACAATTCACAGCTCCGATAATAACAACACTACATAGTCCTGTATGTATGGTTCAGCTACACTTCACTTAAAAACACTAGTGTGCTAAAGTGGAAGTAGACATTTGAAAAAGTTAAATGGCTGTTAAATGTATTTACTAAACCAGAACAGAGCAATGAGGCGTGTGTGAGAACAGAAATCCAGGTTGTGCTTTTATACACACATGCATGCGCGCACACACACACACACACACACACACACACACACACACACACACAGTCACTTGGCATAACTCATCCAAGTGAAGGACATGTACACACAGCGGAGGAGGCATAAATCAATCCTTCCACACTGTGTACACATTCCAGTGAGAGAAAATACACACACATACAAACTTCCCCCTAAACCACTCAAACAAGCACACTTGTAAAAGTCATATGCACAAATATGCACACTCGTACACACACACACACACACACACACACATCTCACGCACAAGTACTGCAAGTTAAATATTAAACTGCCTATTCAAAACTCTCACGGTCAACTGTGAACATGATAAGCTGTCTTTGGCAACCTCACAGGGAAGTGTTTGATGGTGTGTTGGGGCTGTAGGTGACCTACGCTCAAAACATGACTGGCGGAGGTCACTGGGCAAATTCACAGCCAATCAGCACACAGAAAAAACATTTGCCGTTATTTACAAAAGCTAACGTGTGAAGAGAAGATAATGCCCACGAGGACACTGAAAGTGAATTCTCGCTTCTGTCAGGAGGTTATGGAGGCCACAAAAATGAAAAACTGGATGGTGGAGGTTGGAGTGGCAGTGTGGTCATCTGTGTGTGTGCGAAATGTGTATGTTTTAGCCATTTTCCCTCATTCATCCATCAGTATGATTAATGTCACAGCACCCATGGCTTTGAAAAGACCTATAAAAAAATCAAGCAATAACAGAAACAACTATATGACAAGCTATAGCTGGAGATTTTTGCCTGCTTAAAGGTTTAACATCAACACATCAAAGCTGAGCCTTTGATGGAAGGGGTTAATGTACTATGAAACTCACAGCCACTGAATTGCCTCTGTCTGTGCAGCTCTGTCACTAACGGCCAGTCTTGCATCTAGTGTTTAATTACCCAGGCTGAACATTGGCAGACACTGTACAAACAGACAGGCACTATGATCTTCACCAGCATGTCAATGGAGATTGGTGTACATCTGTCTAGACTCTGCATTCCAGCAAGAGGGTTGCATTTCACTTTACAGTTTGTGAGTTCGCCAAGTGTTCCTGTACCAGACCGTGTGGAAGGGCTGACAGTATCAATCAATCAATTTGACTACACGAGACGACACCGTGTCAACAAGTTTCATAGAGCTTGTGGACACACCTAAATGATGCTAAATGGGGAAACACAGCGCCTTCTGTAGATACTTTAGTTTTTTGATAATACTTTTGTTTTTTTAACATAATTGTTGACTCCACTGTCAATACACGGTAAATGGTAAAAATCTGCGACTCTCTGGTGCCAACAGCCATTGAAAGAGATTAATAGAATTTCAGTGAGTTACATAGTACTTTGACTGGACCAGTAATATCACCAACCCCTACTGAGACAGTAAAACTGTACTAGTACTGCATCCTGAGATCTTGTGATCAGTGATTTACTCAAGTATTGGACTCTTTGGAATTTTAAATTTGTGTTAATTTACACATTAACTCAACTTGATGACTGTCATGGTTCCCTGTTACTTTTCAGATTTCACATAAAAATATGACCAGCTTATAAAATGCAATACTTTGTGATAGATTAAACCAGTTGTTCCCAACCTTACCAAAGCAGTGTCACATATAGAATATAGAGCAATACTGCAATAAACTGTTGTAGTAGTACATTTAAGTAAAGGATCTGAATATGTCTTTCGGCAGCCTGTGATGGAACTTGATCCAACGGTGGGAGAAGACATTGAGACAGAGCGCTGCTGTTTTCAGCTCCGACCACCAGGGGCTCCCCTTCACCTCTACTCAACTCCAGGTTGAACTCGCTGGCCTTGAGCTCACTGATGCGTTTCCTCAAACATAAACTCATGGAAATGATTATTCCAAATGACAACTACCATTGTTATCTTGGCTTCTGCACTTTTGTTCGTTACAGGACTACGGCTGAGTCTTCAAAATGACAGCCAAATTATACTGTTACGTGACGGCTGGGTAAATTGTGGATCTAACCTAAGACCTGTGGAAGTCTACGAGCTGCAGCTTCACTTCTTCAGGGTCTGAATCTACAGGCAGTCAACTGATGCCCCAGCGTTGCATGTAAGTCCACATGAAAGACATTATTAGTTCTCTACTTTTTCATACAGTCCATTTGAACCACATGCTGACTGCTGGGAATACAGCGCAAGTGGGATGAACATACAGTATATGTGTAAGGGTGAGAAATAGCGTTTCCATGGAAACTGACCAAGGGGACAAGGCAGATGCATGTTTGCTCTGCTGATCCCTTGTCAACGCTGACAGATCACAACATGAAGATGCAGCCAATTGCTCTCTCTCCCTCCTTCGCTTTCAGTTTCTCCCTTCCTGTTTGCATATGTCCTGCCCTTCCTCGTTTTTTGTCCCCCTGACCTTTTCTTTTGATCTTTCCATCTCACACACTCCAGTCCTGTCTCTCTGAGTCACTCTTTTTTTTCTCTCTCTCTTTCTGTTTGTGTTTGTCAAGGACAGAACAAGATAGTGGAAAATGGACTGTGGAGGAATGTCTGCTCATCCAGTGGGAGTAAAAAAAAAGGAGAGACAGAGCAGTAACAACTTTGATCTGTTATCTCCACTGTTTCTGATGGTCACTGATTGTGTCTGATACTGCTACAAAATTGGTATTCTTTATTATTTATATTTTTGGTATTTACATTATATGTCCATTTATAAATGGGATAAAAAATGTACTATGATGTACTTTTTTTTTTTTTCAATCCACAATGATCTAAACTGGAAAATGTGTCTGCTAGTGTGGCATAAGGATGAATGTTGCTATCTTGGTTTTTCCACACAGTCCATCTCTCAGTGTGTCTACAGCCCACTCAGCCATCCGCCGGACCTCAGCTCTTCACATTTTCTCCATTCTCCCTGCGCCCACACTAATTCCTACTCTTCCCCAGATTCGACACAATCAGTGCTTTATTTGACCTTGATTAAACCCTTTCTCCCATCCACCTCCTAGAAAGGGCTGAGTGGCTATTCTCGGTGGAGCTCACCCCATCAACCGTCCCTGTCAGAACTCTGTCTTTTCCACAGGCTGAGTGCATAGCTCTACAAGACGAGTATTAATCTGAACAAAGAGTCTCCAAAATAAACAAAAGCTTCATTTGCCAGCCATCTCACCAACACTAGCTACAACTACTGTTGTAGAATTATGTTTTGAGGATGAATATCAGTGGAAGTAAGCCAAACTCATTCCCCTTTCATTCTCTGGAGCACATAGCCTGACACATGGCCGACAGGAGATTGGCGAGAGGATTGGCCCGGAGGAGAACAAAAGCTCTGAGAGGCAGCTTAAGATAAACGAGAGGGTGAACACACGCACACAAGGACACATACGTAAATGTGCAGGGGCATCTGTGTGTGTTATCAGTATTGTTGCTTGTAAAGCACAGCAAATGGAATCAGTGTATCAGATTGAACTGTCAGTCAGATGGTGACTGATGGCTGAAAGGCCTGCCCCCTTCACGCATGGCTTCCTTTAGAGAGCACTATAAAACAAAATAAAACACAGAGGCAGTTGAGGAGGGAGAATGTGCAAGAGAGGGAGTTGACAGGCTAGGACACAGATTAACACAGAGGTAAAAACAGCATTTCTTTGATTACACTTTGAGTAATCCACAACATAAAGTGCTTCATTGTGACTGAGTACAGCACAGCACAATACAAAATATTTCCACAAGAACATGGAGAGAGAGACTTATAGTGGCCATCTAACGCCACAAAAAACATCCTCAATATATATATATATATATATATATATATATATATATATATATATATGTATAATATAATGAAACACTATTAAATAGAATGGTAAACCTTTCCAGGGTGTTGGGCCACAATATTCAAAACATAAAGCAAGGGAAACATTAAAAATGTTGTTACAATTAAGTGTATCATTGAGTCTTCTGAGCAACCTTCTGTACTCCTTTCCCCCTGTGCACGCACTCCTGAGCAAATTTCTTTAATTAAGCTGGCTAATTAATTCTCATTGATTAATGGTACTCCTATCAAAAAGGATGACTAGTCTGAGGGGCAATGTGTGCCATCGACCGCTGCATTGTGAGGTGAAAATTAAGTTTTCCATCTAAGACGTGTGAAATGATTAACAGGTCTGCATCTCATTAGAATGCACTGCACACTGAAAATAGTGCTCAGCGTGGTATGATACCCCGGGAACTGGTAGCAAGAAATCACCCACTTTTACGTTGGTATTAATTGTGTGTATCTGGAACTCAAATGATTTGTTGGATGGCTTTTAATAACATATTTGTAGATATTCAGACATCTAGGAATGGGTTTTATTTTTTTTATACAAATCCCAAAATTAAACTCTAATTAGGTTTTCCAAGACAAAGGAATGACCCTTCAAAGTGTCAGCTAGTGAGTCTATTTAAAATTAAATCTGGATATCTTTTAATTACTTTGTTGTTTTTTTTTTTCTTAATTAGAGAAAAGAGAAGGTTAGAGAAAGTGTGGATAATTGATTCATGTCAAAAAAGAAAGGCGAGAAGTACTTCATTATACTAGACAAAAGTACCCTCCATTTATATGTAGATGTAATAACGATCCTGTCAAGCCGCATTTAAAGTTTGATAATGAGGTTCAGTGGATACGGAGGATTTCCCTGAACTGTAAGGGATATTGTTTTTGTCCTGGTCTATATGAGAGAAATTCACAATAGCCTTTACAAACACATACAGACACTTAGCTCCTTACCTTGGCTGTAAGCAGTCCTGTGTATAATGGATGACTAATGTCTTGGTGTGTGACCGAGGGTCTGCCTGTACGCTGAGGTCTAGAGAGTGCAACTGTAACTGTATTCAGATGGGTTGTGGAGGCCATCACCACCCCCTCATGTCTGCCACAGTGACCTTTGACCCCAAAGATGTAGAGTGGGGCCATACTGGCTCAGACAGAGAGAGGATCATTTTACAGCTGGACGCCATTGTTAAACCCACTCACATCACAGAGGGAGCCAGAACAGTTCCCATGGCTTTATGGACATAAATCAACTCCTTGCCCTGTCCTCGCCTATAGCACGCAGCAGTGTCCTCTTACATGGTCTCACTCTTAAGTCCTCCCACTATGCCAGGGGAAATCCCATTCCTGGCATTAGTTCTGCCACATGTCCTTCTTTTCCCTTGGTGATTACAGCAGTCAAGTGTGTAAGTTTGGGGAAGGGCTTCAGAAATCAACTAAAGGCTCAGTTAGCTGAAAAAAAAAAACTACTTGCCCATTGTGTAAATACGGCTAAACCTGAGGTGCCAAGTCTCAAGTCAAGAACTTAACTCGCCTCAAATGAGTTTGATTTTTCAATTCATGTAAGCCACTTGTAGATAACAGTGGGCCAGAGGGACATCTGGGACGGTTATGAGTATGTTGACAAGAGGAAATGGGGGTCATAGCGAATGGCAATTACGCATGCAGAAGGCAGTTCAGCACAATTAAAACTAATGAGCCTTCAGCCCTAAAACCTGCACAAGAATTAGTGATTTTCTGCCACATGTAATCCAGATGGAAAAGTGCAGTCATTACTAAGCTAATACCTAAAGTCATTACATACAGTGCCTCTAGAAGATGTGAAGTCTTTCAGTAAGTCATCACTGACCAGTTAAGTCTAAGCGGACACTTTCACATAAACGATTGCCCTTCTGCACTGCTGGTATGTTTTGTGAGGATGATCCAAAAAAACTGTTCTGTTTCCACTTCCTAAAGAAAACCATTTTCAACCAGGAAGATTATTGGTGATATTTTTTGCAAACCAACCATAATGTGTTTTGTAGCCAGTTATGTATGCTTAGGACATTCACTAAAATATGCAACACATCACACCAAACTCAAGACAAACTCAAGCAGTTCCTTAATAACATCAGATAAATAGGACAGATATATAACAAACGGAAGGAAGTGGGTGAATGGATGGATGGATGATGGATTAATGTACTGAAAGATGGGGGGTTGGGATGAGGGGTTACTGATAGGAATGACGCAGGACAATGTGAACACCAACACCCACCATGGTGGTGCTGGTCACAGCTCGTCTGTCCTGGCGAGGGCTGAGCTGTCTGAGAGGGAGACTCCAGCTCCTCCACCAGGGGAGGGCTGGTGTTGAGCTGCCCAACAGGAGGGGGCCACGGTAGGTCCTTGATCACTTTAATCTCTACTGCAAGTGTCGTCCCAGTCACCAGAGGAGAGATGGAGGGAAGGAGAGGACAGCAACAAGAGGCATAAATGGACGACGACAAAGGGAATGAGGATAGGGAAGTAATGACAGAACACAGAGAGGGAAAAAGAGAAAAGGAAGAAGAGGTAAGTGAAATACAAATAACAGCAGAAGATGCCAGCATTGTGGTAGAGAGCTGGTTTATACTACGATACTGTGAAGAATCAGTAGTAGCTGTGGACTGGAAAAGGAAGGGAATACAACAGGACTGAAAAAGAAGTTAGATACCAGGAAGTAGGGTTGGGTTCTGACAGTGGGTGCCATTTTGGAAGTGGTTCCAGGTTAATTAAAATACCTGGGTTTCTAACGAACCCAGGGCTACAGTCAAAGGTTACTTGTAATGTTAAACTCTCATCTTTGATAAGGGATTTCAAGGATTAAGACTCAACAAGTGAATTGAAGATCTGAATTTTATAAAATGCAACTGAACCCCAACCCTACCAGAAAAGTTCTCTTCCCCTCTCCATTGGCTCTCCCTCAACAATCCAGACAGGAATCCAGAACCCAACTTAAGTCTCCCCTTGGGATCCTGAGATATACTAAAAACATGACAATGCAAAGTTCTGAATCTCTACTTCTGAATCTTGACGTGCTATATGACAGACTTTACTAAAGAGGAAGGCCCAAATAATCCAATGCTGTCTTTTGAAAGTGCAGACTTTATATAGAAAATTTATTCTAGAAATATAGAGCTGCCTTGAGCCCAACTACAGATTGTCACTGATATGGTGCAGTGGACTATGCTATGCTTTTATTCTTAGTGCTAGGTTTTAAAAAAAAGAAAAAGAAAAAAGACTGTAGGCCTCAATACAAAACAACAATGTAGAAACTATCCTTCACTGGAATGTACCTCAGAGCAATCCATCCTGCCGGTGGACACTCCCCGGGCTTTGCCCCTTAAATAATGTATGGCTAATGTCCAGCTGGGGAATTACCAGGGTAAATCGAGCACCCTTGCAAGAGCATATCTGTCACAGAGCAAGAGCCACTTGTTAAATTGCTGAGGATACTCAATAAATGGGATGGAGAGGGGAAGGGAGAACGCTAGTCAGAAACCCAAGATAATAAAGAAACATAGTGCAGCAATAGTAGTTTTGGAACGCCACTGAATGTTCCTCTGGAGGTTAACAGTGTTTTATACATATATCTTTAAACACAGATCTTCCTGTGAGGCGACTTGCCTCTTAATGCCATTAAGAACATTTAGATGTCTCTGTCCATGGTGCTGGGTTTGTTACTAGAGTATTTGAAAGTAAGTACAAGAAACTAAACTTTGTGTGATTTCATCAAACTGGTCACTTAAGGCAGATAATGCCCTTAAACACAAATTAAGAAGGTTTAAAAACAGTTTATTTCTACTGCCTAAAAGAGCAAATACCAAATCATGCAGGTGTTGCCCCTTAAATTAGTCCAAAATTAACATCTGTCAGGAACCAATAACCAAAAGAAACAAAACTACAAATAAATACAAGAAAAACCTAGAAAAAGATGTTTACTTACAATAAAATATCAACAAAAGTAGCTAGATGACTTTGAAGCCCAAAAGCTCACCTTCTTTATCAAACTGCATTACACGCTGATGAATAACATTAAAACGAAAGAATAGGTTAACATTGGTAAAAAAAATAAATAAATAAAAATACTCCAGTGGTGGCCTAGCCTATCAATGATGGCGGCCTTATTTGAGGACATAGACAAATAGGTGGAGAACAGCAACATACTGACAGATACAAATCTGGCAGCTGTTGAATACAAGGCCAATTTGAGACATGTCAATAAATAGTTTAAGACTTTCTTTAAAAGATGTTTTCGCCTCCGTAACAGTGTAGTTTTTGTCATCATTACATTGGTTATGCTTGGTAATACTATACAACAATTACCTACAGTAGAAAATGTTTATAAATTAAGAGCTCAAGATTAGTAAAAGGGGAGAGTTAGAGCCACATTTTATCTCATCTATAGAGAGTCGACTAAGTGTTACCTCAGCTGCCTAAAATGGGAAGATGCAGCTTCGTGTTGCTGTCTTGTATTGGCTGTTATACAGACTGGTCTTCAGTGAGGATGGGAATAATGTTATGGACTTGTCCATTTTCCGTCCTGCAAGGAATTGGTGGTGGTACAGGACATGCTAATGAGAGGCAATATCTGCAAGCTAGATGAAGGGGGAAATGACAGAATATTCAATCCGACAAGCAATTAAATAGATGGGCCCGCGGTGTCAGGGGGCTAATCTACAGAAAGTTGGCTGGAAGGAGGAGCTGCTTGATGTCTATCCTGATTGGAGAGGTGTGGGGTGGTGGAACGGTGGGGCTGGAGGGTGGGGAATGGAGACAGAAGGTCAGAAACTCTGGGAGATAATATAACTTCCACTACTTTGGGGTGAAGTAGGGGACTCTCTTCCTCTGAGATTAAAAGCCTAATGCTCATTTCACATTGCAGATTAGCGTGTAATTGTTTGGGGAGTAGAAGGCTGCCTGCACTCTGCAGCCACGCTGTGAGGACGAGGAGACGATTTGGGCGAGTGTGGCTCAGATTTGCTTGGATGCACAGCTGAATAATAGCATTTAGCACTGTGAAAATTGAGGTAAAACATATTCAATAGCCAGGAGTTTTTTGTTAGTATTTTTAAAACTCTGGGTGACTGGAATCTCCCGTACCAGTCCCAGTCCCGTTGCCCTCTTGAATAATCATTGATGCCATTTTGCCGCATGGATGAGGGCATCTTTACAACTTGTACTATTCATCAATTCAAATTCAGGACTATGGTGACAACAGCAGTGTTGCCTTTGCACAGAAGAGATGATTTACACATCAACCCTGAAGGCTCATCACACTGCCACAGAAATGTTCACATATCTGCCCCCATCACACTGCCCTGATTATCACCTATGTAGATGGTACACTGCAGTCTGTGTGAACAACAGGTTTAGTGTTTCAGAGACTGGATGTAAATATAAGGTAGAAAATATAAATTGCAATTTAATAAAGCATTTTAATAAAGCTCGTATAGAACCAAAATCTAGAGGTTCTGTTTTTATAATTATTGGCAGCAATATTTGTATTTCACTTTCTTTGATGAAAAGATTATCACATCTTCCTCGTCTAATCGGACTGCACTTGGATCAGTAAGACATATCTCATCTGCATAATCCTCAACGACATAGGAATAGAGGCTACTGATGATTCTAGATCGACAAGGCACCTGTCGCTCAAGTAAACGACACAAAGGTGGCAATGTTGGGATACTGAATAGGAAAATTTGAAAACATGTGTCCCTCACATGTCCCGTTTGCTTTGGAAATGTGTGATGTTGGCAGGATGTCATGTGGACTGTACACCTCCGGGTTGAACAGCAGTCTGGGGGTGGATATTCAATAAGCCTGTGTGTTGTAAATGCTGAGGCTTATTAATTATTTGTTTCACAGCTACGTTGACAGTACAGTTCATCAGAAGAACCAGAGTGTACTTTAACAATGGACAAGAGCCCCTTTTTCTATCTGTATTTACCTTCCCTTTGTTCTTCCAGGAGCAGATCTATTTTTAAAGCCAGGTATTTGTTTACCCAGGCTTTTCATTAGCCTATGGCACTTCATCACTGTAAACAGTGCAGCACCATAAATCACCAGCTATGCTTGTTTCCACCAATGCCATTTAATTTAGTTCTGCTTAATTTGGTTGGCTAATTGCATGCATATTCAAAACAAGCTGGAAGATTGCAATGTTTATGCCGCACATTATGAGCAGAAGCGCCTGGAACACAAAACCAGCCTCTTCTGAGGACGTGTTTGTTCCATTGGCACCCAAATCATTACAGATAACAACTGTGTAATGCACCGGGGGAACTGAAATGCCACCTCATAATTCTCCGCTTACTGTACACGTCACATTATACGGTCCAGCTCACTTTTACAGAATAGATCTGTTTTGAAAGGCCATGTGTTTGCATTAAAAATTAAACTGGCACAAAAAAGTGGGTGATGGAGATGAGGTGACAGCAGGGCCTTTTTTCTGCTTTCTATCAGGAGGTAGAGAAGGAAGAGATGTGTTAGTGACGGCCAGCCAGCAGGAGCTTCCAGGGGGGGCTTGCTGAAGCAGGAGCGCTGCTTCCATACTTTGTGAGGGAGGTTTACAGTGCTGTTGTGTGTGGCCAATGTGTGTGAGTGAAGATAAGACCTGTGGTGGCGCTCAGTGAAAGACAGCATGACACATTTGAGACTCGTGAAAGAGGGCTGTCAGGAAGGTTATCAGCAGGGTGTTGCAGCAGAGGTCAGGAGGATGAGCTGAGAAGTGACAGACAGTGGGTGGGGGAAACAAGATCAACCAAGCAGAGAGAAACCGAACCATAGCACCCACAAAACAGCTGGCTTTAACCCTGGTGAAGATACCCAGCGCATGACAGTAAGAGAATCAATTATATATTTTAGGACGTTAGACTTGAGCTTCAGATTTCTGGGTCGTTAAGCCCATGAAGATTCATTAAAAAACCATAAAGCTCCTGAAGACCTTAGGGAGCAAACGACAGCGCCTTCTCTTATCTCCTGTGTTTAATGTATGGTACCCCGCTGGCCGAGAGCCAAGTGTAAGGAGTTAGTCGCAGGTAACAGAGGGCGAGGAGATTAAATAACAATGGCTCTCGAGCCCATTCCTGCTGTAATGAGGCTCAAATTTCTGATGGCGGCATGTCCATGTCTGGGTGTGTGAGTGAGCGTGCCATATGCAGAATCAAAGCATACAGGCTCACACTGACGGACATGCGAGCACACTTTCTCTTACAATCACATGTGGCCTTCTTCATATGGTCCCATGCTAATGCATCTTCCTCACTCTTCACCTCCGAGCTCATCCATCACTTATTCAGCATCCAGGAGGGACGTAGGAAAGAGGTTGTGGTGAGCATCTGTTCAGTCTACAGAGTGTGTGTGTGTGTGTGTGTGTGGGGG